AAATAAAATAAAATTGAATTGTATCACTCTTGTTGAAAATAATGAAACATTGCCAGATTTATTTTGGTTAGCATAAATCTACTTTTGCTGATGAATAAATACAAATAAATAAAAAAAATGCAGGAGAAGAATTGGAGAGGAAGGGAGGAGGTGGGAAAAGGTCTATATTGCTCGGACTCATCAAAAATATCGAGGGGTGCGTGGCGGATCCTCCAAAAACAGTGTATTTTTGAAGGATCCGACACGGGTGCGGCAACATTTTGGGGAGTCCAAGCAACTTAGGAAAAGATAAGTTGCTGGGAGGGGATGGAGGAGGAAGGCGGTCTTCTTCCTCTTTTTTTTTTCAAGTTAATTACTTTTTTCTTTTTTGAGGATTAGTAATGTTAATTACTTTTTTCTTTTTATGGTTAGAATTTGTGTAGATGCTAAAAAAACAATATTTAAATTGCTTTACTCTCTTAGAGAGAGTGAAAAACATGTTTTTTTGCCATGTCAGTGGTTTGGGTCTAATTGGAACATTTTTGAACAATTAAGGTGTTCAATAGGTATAAGTCTGAATTAAAGTATCGAAGTGAAATATGTGGACAACTTTAAGGGGACACAAATGACTCAAGCTAAAAGTAAATAATAGATACTAGAACTAGATAGTCAATAATCCTCATAACATATTAACCAAATGCAAATCTGAGGTCTTTGTGAAACTCAGTCTCCTCTACTTTTTCCTCGGAGTCAGTTTCAAAGTGTGAATATTCATCCGGCTCATTTCCTCATCCATAGGCAGCATTTCCTCTGTTCTAACATAGACATTCTCACTTACATCTATGTCTTTCAGAGGTCCTTCAGAAAGGTTGATATGAAAAGGTTTAGGAACAATAGGAGCACTGGCCAGAGGGACTTCAACACCTTTCCCAATATTGCAGGAGATATTTTGAATGATCTTGTTTTCCTCGAGTGGTTTGCGTTGAGAAACATTATTTTGCAATCTATATTGAAGTTAGGATCATTGATTCCAGTTTCTTCAATGTTTATTAGAATCTTCTCCAAAATGATAGGACAACCTTAGTCTTTTCTTCCTTCTTTCTCCCTCCTCCCTTTTCATAAGGTGGGGCAGTCTTCACAAAGAGGAGTCTCTTTTAGTTCTCATGATCTTCCTTCAGGATTGTTTCTGAGCTATTGCACCTTCTTAGTCTTTCCTTTGGTAGTAACTGATTTCTCTTGTTGTGAGAGCTCTCCGGAAGCTTCTTTATTTATCTTCACTTCTGTAGCCCCTTCCATGGTATTCTAAATGGCAAGAACCATCTTGTCATAAATTTTTGTCTCAAAACAAATTTTTGTTTTCCAACATATTTGTAATTTTAAATTTCTCAGCATTTTGCTCTTGGTTTTTGTGGTTGTTCTTTTTTTGTTCTCACCTTTGACTCTCTCAACAATGGCCCAGCCCTCATTGTCATCAATTTTCTCAACTTCCATGGTAGAGGCAGACCATGTTGTTAGGACCTGTATTCTTGTTGTATTTCTGGACTTCATATCAACTGGCTTAAGAGTAGTTTATTCCCGGTTAATAAAGTAGACAATTTTCAAGAACTTGTAAGTGTTCTGGGATGTGTGTTGGGTTCCCTACATACTACCTATTGGGGGCTATCTTTGGGTGCTAAAAGTAAAGCCTTGCAAAAGAGGTTTGCAATAAGGAAGGGACAATACTTATCTCTAGGTGGTAGGGTGATACTAGTCAATAGTGTTTTGGATACTTTTCCTTCTTAGTCATGTCTCTTTTTCCTTCACCTAGCATGGTAAGGAAAAGGATTGACAAGTTCATGAGGAATTTCATATAGCAAGGCAACAATGAAAAAAGGGCACTCCACCTGGTTAATTGGGATGTTCTTATCAAATCCAAAAAAGATGGTGGCCTTGACATCATGAACCTAAATGCTCACAACCATAGTTTACTAATGAAGTGGTTATGGAGGTATAATCTTGAAATATATGCTTTATGGTGAAATGTCATTCATGACAAGTATGGTCAGGATGGCCAGTGGTGTTCAAAGGTGGTTGTGATCCGCCATGGTGTAGGTCTGTAGGAGTCAGGAAAGCAATCAGATTCCTCCGGTCTTTGATGGCCGGAAAAATTAGATTAAGAGTGGGCAATGGAATGAAAATTCTTTTTTTGGTGTGATTGTCTTGGGCTTGGACCTTTAAAGGAACTCTTCCCTGAATTCTTTAGCATTGCCACTATGCCAAACATCAGTCTGGAATCAACAAAAGGAGTACACAGATGGAATATTACTTTTAGAAGGCTACTGCATGATTGGGAGCTGAAAAGAGTTATTGAATTTTTCAAGACCTTATAATTCCAAGGGTTCAAAGCTACTCACATTCACTTATATGGAAGCCCACTAGTAAAGGAACTTAGTCTGTAAATTCAGCTTATAACATCTTATTAGGCACAAACAGTCAACTAATCAGTGGCCATGGAGATCCATTCAGAAGATGAAGGCTCATTTTAAGGTGGTATGCTTTTCTTGGCTAGTAACAAGAAATGTTTGCCTCACACAGGATAAACTTCAAATAAGGGGATTCCAACTATGTTCTAGATGCTTTTTGTGCAGAGCTGCTGGGGAAAAAATAGTTACCTATTCATTCATTCTCCTGTTACTGGACAATTATGGCAATTATTCTTGAACATGGTAGGAATCAGTGATCAATGCCAGCAACAAGTGTTGATTTATTGAAATGTTGGAACCAGAATGATGGGGTAGTTAGTCAGAAAAATTGGTGCAACCTTGTCCATGCTTGCATGTGGTGGACCATTTAACTATAGAGCTTTTGAAGACAAATACAATTTTGTGGAGAAAATCAAGATGAATTGTATATTTTTGTTTTATTTTTGGTGTAAAGAAAGCTATCTCAGGAGGCTGAATCACTAGTTGATATGATAGGATCCTTGTGAAGCAGTAGTCTAAGCTTGGTTGGGATTTTGTAGTGTCTTTTTGGCTTTTGCACTGTTATGGTGCAACTTTAATATATATATATATATATATATATATATATTTTCGGTTTTTATTTTTCTAAATCCTAAACCAAATCAAAAAAACAAACAAAGTAAATTATAAATCCAAAACCAAACCAAAAAACCAATCCAAATAAAAATTTACATACTATCTCTGCTGTCGGATGTACTGATGATCTTCTCCTCACCCTTCTTAGCCAAATCTCTTTCAATGTTAGTAGGGTTCATAGGTTCTTTCCTCAATTCAGGATGTTGAATTCTACATTTCACATCATTGTGTCCCTGGATTTTGCAATGGTTACAATATTCTAGGACGGTCTCGTATTTAACTTTTTGTGTGATGATCTCCTCATCCCTCCAAGCATTTGTGATTGCAATTTGAACTTCATACATGAGTGGTGTGAGAAATATAGGAGAAAATATATTATTGAATTGTGTATCTACATTATTACATTGAGATCCTATTATAGACACTACATTGGAATCCTTTTCCTACTAGGATTCCTATTCTTATTCCTATTCCTATTCCTATTAGGATTGTATATACTTATTTCTATTCTAACATCCCCCTCAAGCTGGTGCATACAAATCATATGTACCTAGATTGTAACAGATGTAATTAATACGAGGACCAGTGAGGGACTTGGTGAAGATTTCTGCAAGCTAATCATTTGACTTCACGAATTTCGTAGCTGATCATTTGACTTCACGAATTTCGTAACAATATCTCCTGAGTATCTTTTCTCTGTCAAAGTGACAGTCAATCTCAATGTGCTTAGTCCTTTCACGAAACACTGGATTTGATGCAATATGAAGAGCCGTTTGATTATCATACACAAGTTCCATTTGACCGATTTCGCCAAATTTTAGCTCTCCCAACAACTGTTTGATCCAAACTAGCTCACACAGCAACTGTTTGATCCAAACTAGCTTAATATTCTGATTCTGCACTAGATCGAGCAACCACACTCTGTTTCTTACTCTTCCACGACACCAAATTATCTCCTACTAAAACACAATATCCGGATGTCGAACGTCTATCAGAGGGTGATCCTGCCCAATCAACGTTGGTATATCCAGTGATATGCTCATGTCCTTGATACTCAAAGAGTAGACCTTTACCTGGAGCTGACTTTATATATCGCAGAATACGAACAACTGCTTCCCAATGACTATCACAAGGGGAAGTCATAAACTGACTTACAACATTCACAGAAAAAGAGATGTCAAGTCTAGTCACTGTGAGATAGTTCAACTTCCCAACTAGCCGTCTATACTGTTGGCTGATAGAGGATATTCTCCATATCAAGATTTGATCCCTTAAGATCTTAAAGATAATTGTTGTAAGCTAGAATATCTTTTTCTTCTTTTTAGTAAAATATATGATTTTATAGAATCCCAGATTTCATGGGATCTAGGTGATTCTGTTCCACAATCTCTCATGTATATAAAGCCTTGTATATGACATAGAAAGATATGGATAAAATTATTGAACTATTTTATTCCACATGGTATCAGAGCTTTAGGCTTATTCCTTACTAGGTTTATTCATCTTGTCTTGAAATATATTTTTTTTAATCTTTATCTGGCCAAAGATTGAAACCATTCAAGAACCATGCCAGAAAATGTGACTGCTGCAACTATTCCAGCCTCTGGAACTGTTTCTGCACAAAACATTCAAGCCTCTTATCGGTTGAATGGAAAAAATTACCTTAAATGGGCTCAACTGGTTCGTACCTTTTTAAAGGGTAAAGGGAAAATACGACACCTTCTTGGTACAGGACCATCTAAAGAAGACCCCACGTTTGATGCATGGGATGAACATGATGCAATGATGATGTCTTGGTTATGGAACTCTATGCTTCCAGAAATCAGCGATAGCGTTATGTTTTTTAGCACCGCTAAGGAAATTTGGGATGCAGTGAAGGAGACGTACTCTAAAGTACATGAAAATAGGGAGCTCGACCTGTCACTGAATATTCTAACTTTTTAAAGGGGTTATGGCAAGAAATGGATCATTATCAATGCATTCAAATGAGTTGTAAAAATGATGCTGTAATTCTGAAAAGATTTATTGAAAAAGAAAGGATTTATGATTTTCTTGTAGGATTAAATGCAGAATTTGATTCCGTGAGAGTGCAAATCTTAGGAAAAGAAGATCTTCCATCATTAAATGAGACAATGGCCATAATACGAACAGAAGAAGGACGGAGGAGTGTTATGTTTGAAACTCAAATTAATGAAGGATCAGCTCTAGTAGCAAAAGGGACAAGTTCAAAAGAATCTGAAGTTTCACAATCGGAGAGCACCATCAAGCCCACGGGTTCATACAAACCGCCATTCAATAGGGACAATCTTTATTGCACCTATTGCAAAAAATATCGGCACACCCAAGAGAGATGCTGGAGACTCAATGGTAGACCTCCAAACAGAAACAATAGTGATAGAAAGCTTGCACATTTAGCAAGCAACCCTCAGGCTGATGAAACAAATCCACACTCAACTTCAGCAGGTAGTTGTTCATTGGCCTTCACAGGTATTTCTTGTTCTTTTGTTACTAATGTCTCAGACAAACTCTCCAATATGGGTGGTTGATTCCGGGGCAACTGATCACCTCTCATCTCTTCATATCATATTCTCCTTCTCCTAGCTATAAAAAAATAACTATAGCTGATGGTTCAGTTATAACTGTAGCTGGACAAGGAGACATACCACTGTTGATACTTAAAGATATCCTTCATGTCCCAAAATTATCTGCAAATCTCATTTCTATCCAAAAAATCAACAAAGATTCCAAATGCCAAGTAACTTTCTTCCCTTCATATTGCTTATTTCAGGAACAGAACACGAAGGAGATGATTGGGCGTGCTAGTGAGAAAGGTGGTCTTTATTGTCTGGATGTCCACACACAAACGGGTTTCCTATCCAATTAGTCACAAAAGAAGTCAAACTCCATTTTCTCTTATTCATAGTGATATTTGGGGACCCTCTCCCATTCTTAATATTTCTGGTGCTAGATGGTTTGTGTCATTCATTGATGATTGTACAAGAGTTACGTGGATCTATTTGCTAAAGCAAAAATCAGATGTTAGTTGAATTCTTCCCACCTTTTTTAATCTGATCAAAACCTAATATGATGTGCCTATTAAAAGATTCCGATCTGATAATGCCAAAGACTACTTCAATCAAACACTCTGTCTTTTCTTCCAAAAAGAGGGAATTATTCATGAATCTTCATGTGTCAAATCTCCTCAACAAAATGGGATAGCAGAGAGAAGAAACGATTGTTAACTTGACTATTACTAGATCACTATTGTTTCATAAAAAAGGTGACCAAAACAGTATTGGGGGGAAGCTGTCCTAACTATTGCACACCTTAGTAACAGAATGCCATCAAGAATTCTGAACTTTAAAAGTCCACTTGATACTCTTAGGAATTTCTTTCCGAATTTTGAAATTTCCAATAAATTGGTTCCTAGAATCTTTGGGAGTGTTGCCTATGTTCATATTCATTCTCAAAATAGAGGCAAATTAGACCCACGTGCTCTTAAGTGTGTTTTCATAGGATATTCTCCTACTCAAAAAGGTTACAAATGTTATCAACCATCATCAAAGAAATTCTTTCGTTTCAGCTGATGTTACATTTGATGAGAGTGAATCCTTTTTAGGTCATTCTTACAATCAGGGGGAGTCGTTGAAGGGAGAGGGACCTCTAGACTTGTCACTATTTGATTTTTCTATTTCTGGTCATACCAAATCCTTGCCCGAGTCATCATTTCTTCGGTCACCTGAGTCTCTAAATTCAAATGAACTCATTGAGTCTCCTAATCTGGATATAGATAATGAAATTCTAGAAAATAATCTACCATTGCAGGTTTATTCCAGAAGAAAGAGGCTAATTGATCAAACTACTCAGCTGCAATCATCTCCTAAGGTTACTGCTCCTAGTACCCATCTTGCACCTGTTGAACCATCAGAAACACCAAACCAAACTGATCATGAAGAACCTAACCAACCTAATGATCTTGACCTTCCCATTGCCCTCAGAAAAGGAACCAGAACTTGCACACAACACCTTTTGAGCCTTTTCATGACATCAAAATCTATCCCCAAAACATAAAACTTTTCTCTGTAACCTCCACACAATTCTTATCCCCAAAAATTTGTCTGAAGCATTAGGAAACAAAGAGTGGGAGAAAGCTATGAAGGTTGAAATGGAAGCATTGGAAAAAAAACAGAACTTGGGAAATTGTGGAATTACCAGAAGGGAAGAAGTTGGTCGGGTGCAGATGGGTGTTTACTGTGAAATATAAGTCAGATGGGTCCATAGAAAGATTTAAAGCACGTTTGGTAGCAAAGGGTTATACACAAACCTATGGAATTGATTATTTGGAGACTTTTGCCCCTGTGGCAAAAATGAATACAGTGAGAATCTTATTGTCATTGGCTGCAGTTTCTAATTGGAACCTACAACAATTTGATGTAAAAAATGCCTTTTTACATGGAGACTTGGATGAGGAGATCTATATGGAGGTGCCACCTGGTTTTGAAAGCAAGAAGGGAAGGGTGTGCAGACTGAAACAGGCACTCTATGGATTAAAGCAATCACCTCGTGCATAGTTTGGAAGATTTACAAAGGTTATGATCAAG